ATCGTAATGCTCATAGTGAAAATCTTCTTTCACCCAATTCTAGACCCGAAAAACAAATCTTACCCTCATCTCAGACTCTATCTCCTACTTCAAATTTTACTCAAAGAAGAATTGAAGAAATGCCTTCTACTAGTGCAAATTCAGCAAACCATTTTAATCATTCATTTAAACTTTTTGATTTACAATCTGTAATCAACTATCTTAGAAATACGTCGGATAATAATAAAAATATTTGTAGGGAACTGCTCCTGACTGAGTGTAGACCTCAATCCACTATGGATTTGGATCAATCGTCAGATTCAGGTTAAACTAATCAAAGATTTTGGACTCATTATATTCGCAGCTTCTGTTTTTTTCTATAGTATAAGTACAAATAATAAACTATGAATAATAGGACAAATTTGAAAGTAATTCAATGGAATATTCGAAGTGTCAGATCTAATAGAGATAACCTAATTAATCTTATAACGGAAGAAAATCCAGATGTGATTTTGCTCAACGAAACTTGGCTCAATTCAAATCAAACTTTTTCTTTAAAATCTTTCAATATTACTAGGCAGGATAGAAATGACGGTTATGGAGGAGTGGCAACATCAGGGACACTTTATCCGTTAGGACAATTAGGTCATGTCCTACGGGCCACTTGAGGATGAAGGCCAACTGCTGGCCTTTAATTTATAATATAAAATGTAAAAGCCCACTATATTAAAAACATCGACTTGTTTAGAAGCAGGACTAGCATATATTTCAATACTCTTTAATTCTCATAATTCACACTGCACAAGCACATTTGGTTTGGCCAGAGTGCACTGCCTGATGTCACGATGCTCTGGAATCACTCCGCTCGCTCCATGGAGCATCAATCCGGAAGACGCCCTAAAGTCACCAAGCTGCGCTGAATCGCCGTCGATTCATTAGCGCAGCACGGGTACGTGGCAACTAGCAACGACTACAGCAGGAACCTGTTAGTATTTGCGCTGCTTTGCCAAATTGTAAGTTTCTTTGAACTTCTTCTGGAGCATCCAGGGACTTGAGCAGTGTCTTCAGGGTCCAGTGTACCACGAAGTCGTGCCTTGTTGTTGTTGAGCTTGTAGGACATGTACAGGCAACATAGTACGAACTCTGAGTTGCAACCCTTTATGCATCTTTTCCTCGCTACTAAATTTGATTCCAAGCCATGCAGCTGTTCTTCCGAAGCACCCATCAGTACACTTAGTCCCCAGCATCCATATATGGTGATTGGTAGGCTGGGAGCTCAATCCCATCATTTTCTTTTACGACGTTCCAACCATATAGCATGTTTTGTGACCATTCTTGATTTTTGTTCCATCATTTTGTAGTACCTTTCTTTGATTTTACCGAATACTACTTGCAGGGGCGGATTAAGCCTTTTTTCGCTCCTGTGCGATTAGAATTATTTCGCCCCCTTCCAGGCTCTGGGTTATATCATTATATTTTATTTTGTCATTTGAAGATTCTTCAATATAAAAAAGACAAATACTTAGTATTTTGAATTAAAGATGGCATGAGACACGTTGATTAGTGCCAAGTCACTTGTCTTTTCATCTGAATGTGTGTTTCTGAGATAGTCTTTAATCCTCCTTAGGGTGGAAAAAGACTTCTCTCCAGACGCGTAAGTCGATGGAAGGCAAAGATACATTCTCAATGGTACCTCGATATTGGGAAATGTCGAGATTACTTTTTCAGACTTTAAACTTTGTGGAGGTTTATCCAAATTTAAGGTGCCATCGTGACTACTAGAAATCAGGAAATATTTATATTGAAGACATTTCTGAGGAAAATAATCGTCCAGATCGTTTTTACATGTTCCCTCAAGTCGCTGCGCTTTTGTTTTTATTTCTTCGCCAGATAGGGCACTTTCCAAAATTCACCGGTTTCTAAACCGGTGCGATACCGGTTTAATAGTTCACTCACCAAACCGTTCCAAAATGTACCGTCTTTTTACCGGTTGAACCAGATCGTCCGCTCCAAAATTGACCGGAATGATCTACTGTTTGAATCCGGTGAGGTACCGGATCTACCGGGAATTTTTTGTCGGTTTTTTCGGTTGGAGATTTTCTAACACTGTTTTGACGTAGATCAGTTTCTTTGAATGGGCATTATCGGCAGTCGTTCCTTGAACTGTTGCAACTCAACCGTTACAACCAAACTTTAACACACCGAAGCGTTCCAAAATGCATCAGAAAAATCTTGTACCAGATATACACCTAACTTTTTCCGGAATTTTTTGACAGCTACCGGTTTATTTAACCGGTCAATTTATCGGTGAAATTTGGAAAGTGCCCATAATAAAACAAATTTATACAAAAATGCAGTTCCAAGGTCAAAATGTTGTCATATTATGTGTAGGAAGCCAAGTTTTTGTCATTTTGCTGTTTGATTTTCTGAATTTTTTCCTTTTATTTTTATTTTTAAAATTTTTTGCCCCCTTTGACTTTTTGCCCCTGGGCAATTGCCCACTTCCGCCTTATGGTTAATCCGGCCCTGACTACTTGCCAACATTTTTTGCCTTCATATTCTGCCAGGTTAGTAGTTTGAAATCGTCTGAATAATTTTATTTAACCCCATAAAAAAGAACAATCACTCATGAAAGGCCATACCAAATAATTGACCTACGGGCCAGAGACAGGTTAAAGCGTCACTGGGCAACATGTGTCAAAGACAACATAATTTTTTCCACAACTAAAAAATTTTCTTCAGATTCAATTCAATATACCTATTATTTCTAAAATTGGAGATTTGAATATAATCAATATATCCAGCAATATATATAGTAATTTGAATACTGCCTTCGACTTAAATTTTCTCGATTCGCTTATAGAAGACTTTACTAATCAGAAAATCATAATCATGGGGGATCTGAATTGTCATCATCCATCCTCTTTGGGATAGGATGCCTGCCAACAATGGTGGGAAATACATTAGCGATTTTATTTGGAACAATGACTTCATTATTATGAATAATGGTTTGACCACCAGGTGGCAGAACCCTAATAATTTAAACAGTGCTGTTCATCTCACTATAGTAAGTAGTTGTCTGGCTTTGTATGCTGATTGTTGGCGATTTGGACCAATCAAAAACACTCTGACTGGTTTGTTATTTCTGTGGAAACAGACCTTAGGTCATTGGTTGAAACTAGTTTTCTGACTGTTTTCAACGAATGAAATTCAATCTGACTGGTTTGTGTTTGCTGTGCGAACAGACCTATTAATGATGCCAAACTAAAAAGTACAACATATTATTATCAAAAGGACAGATCATCAGATACGATACAAGTACTTTTTATAGAGGAGGTGGAGTACTAATAGCACTCCGTAAAACCATAACCAGTACAGTTTTATCAGTTACCATAAATATGGAATAATTATGGTAAAGTTCAAATTGGTAACAACAATTTTATCCTTGCAACAGCTTATTTCTCACCCTGAAGTGATCCAGAAAGATATGTGAAGTTTACTGAGAACCTATCTGGAGAATATCCAGAACACAAACTTTGTATCCTGGAAGATTTTAATCTTCCGTACTGTCAGTGACATAATGATGGATTCTCTTCAGTCGCTGTGCCTATGGCCGTAGTTTCACCAAACGAAGTTGGACCGTGAGATTGGGGCTGTTTAGTCGAGTCATTTTTTTTTGTCTGGTATTTTCAGGGATGAATGTGGCTAGTTAACTGATGAGAATATGGGTGATTTTAATGCCTGCCCCCCATTCGAAAATTTGGAGAAGAAAAAAATTCATTTACATAAAGATTTTTTTTTTAATGATCTCAAATTATCTGGCTTTTAAATAAAAGATTGAAATTGATAAATTAAATAATTCACCCATAAAAAATACCAGATATTTTTCAGTGGCTGAAAAAGTGGGGATGAGTCTCAACTTCCAACAGAAAAGTATAGAAACTTCCGCATGTACTTTCTTTTCGGCAGTACGGAGAATAAAAGGTTTTGTTGTGAAAATAACGCTGAAAATCGTCAGATGGTAATCACAGTTCAAAATCTAGTTTTCCGGCGAAAAATTCTGTGAACATTTCGAACAAGGAGCAGGCATTAAAACCACTTATATTGTCATCAGCTAACCAGTCACATTCAGCCTTCAAAATGCCATCAGACAAAAAAAAATGACTCCACGAAACAGTCCTTAACTCAGGGTCTATGACAATAACTTGCTTGATCTGGTTTTTATGCAAGATATTTGCAGCAGAGAATATCTTACTTCCGGAAGAAGATATTCATCGTCTACCACTGTCTTTTGAAGTCGAATATGAATCTAATCTAATCCAACTCGGGATTGACTGGGGATAGCTATTATAAGGATTTCAAGTTAATGAATGTTCAAGAAGTGTCAAGTTTCCTTTCCCTGTTTAACTGGGATGATTTTCTCAAGAACAAATCTCTTGAGGATATGGTTCATATTTTTCACAATTTCACGACATTGGGTGGTATGAATAAAAATGAAGTACTTACTACTACTACAAGTATTATTATATTCTACGGAGTATTTACTTTACAAAGAAGGATTTACTAAAATCCGGTAGTTTCGAAATGGAGTATCTACTTCGTTTTAAAGTGAATATACCTAGGAATATACTGTCGCGGCTTTGGGTTGCCTGACAGAAATCTGGGGTTCGTCGTTCGTTTCGTTTATTCCAAAAATCAAAGTCCAATTAACACAGCAATAATTTATTCCACTTAACAAAACACTCTGACACTAATTACTTTAATAACTAACTCAACAAATAAACTTTACAACTCAATAATCACTATTTAACTCGTATCACAGTCAAACTTTAACTTACAAATCAATGCCGGCCTTCTTATATATCCCTAAATCTATTCCTGTAAAATTTAGAATACACACGATAATCTAATTTTCCAGATTAAAGTAGAATAATTCGCTAGATTCTAGTATTTTCCGCTATCGATTCTTGACAGCCTGGCGGACGATACCGTGACAGTACAAAGTTCATGAACTAGAAAATATTGCATATTATTAGTATCACATTTTAATCCCTTAGTTGAATGAGTTATCTCCAGTTCTAGCTCTGGTAGTCTGACTTTAGAATTAATATTAAAAATTGTTAAAAGTTTTTTTAAATCCTCTATACAATCTCTTTGTTCTAGCATTGAGGATATGCCATGGGCGCAGAACTTATGGGAGAAAGTTGAGCAGCATACCAAAAAAGGCTTTCTGAACTGGTGTAAAATTGTAAAAAAAGTAGCCGGTAACAAAGGCGAAGATGTCGTTATGTGGAATAAGGACTATCTCAGGTCGGTCGATGAGATTTTTTGCGATATGGTGGCCGAAATGTCGCAAATTCATTCGTCAACCATCAATAAAATGCAAGAGTTTTTCACTCGACTAGAAAAGGCGTGCATCGAACTCCACCAACCATTGCCTGAAATTAAGGAAGAAGGTTTAAGCCTTTACGAAGCCCAGCAAGAATTATTGAAATACGTGAATAAGTGAGTTGTTAAAAAAATTAATTTACTTATTATATTTTTTTTATTAAATTAATTTAGATATGAAGCTGTCGTTAATGCTAAGAAACTAGCTCTGGAAAATCTTAACAAAAAACAAATACAATTATGCAAAGAGTTAGACCGGAAAATACAAATTGATTTGAAGTACCCCCCATTGCCTACCCAAGCACAGTTTGATAAATTGGAAGCAGAAAAGTTTGAACGCGAGGAAAAATTCGTAAATTTGAAACACGAAATGACAGAAATCGTTGATGAAATCAAATACAAACCCAATAGCGACTTTGAAAGAGAGGTTTGATTTTTGTAATTTTTTTTTTTTTTTAATAAACTTTGATAAATATTTTTTCAATAGGTATTGTCTTCAGATGATATGATGTTGAGTAACCAGAATCTAAAAATGCTGGAGTTTTTCGCCAAGTGTATGAAAGAGCTCAAACTATCCACCGAAGAAGAAGTGTCCCATTTAAGAACAAGAATTGAAGATCTATGAGAAAAGGGCAAGCAAAATCCCCAGACAAGAAGAAACCCAGCGACCCAGTCCGATACTTGGGAGCAAGCTGAAGTGCCCTCTGCAAGCATCACAACGAGGAACATGCCTGTTTATATCCGGTCTAGAACCAAACACCAGTCCAGAAGATGTCAAAAAATACATTGAAGAAACCACAAAGGTAACCATACTAGTAACAAAAATGAAAACAAAAACTGAAAAAATAAAAAGCAGTTTTAAGCTGGAAATCCCATCACACATCAAAGAGCAAGTCATGTCACCAGAAATGTGGCCCAAAGGGACCTTTGTACATTTTTTTCTGAGACTCCGACAGAGCCCAATACGGGCAAACAAAAACTAAAACATCAATCAACAGGAAATGGTCTGAATATTTTTCACATGAATATTCAGAGTATCCGAAATAAAACACTCGAACTAGAAGTAGTCCTGAAAACACTGGACACTGAGCATCAAATTGTCTGCCTATCAGAAACATGGCTCCAACCAGGTGAAGAAGCATTTGTCAAGCTTGAGGGCTACACCCTGCTAGCATCATTTTCACGCTCTAAAATTCAACATGGTGTTGTATGCATCCTGGTCGGAGATGGAGAGGAAAACTTTATGGAATTGGATGACTTCAAAGAATTTTGTATAGAGGGGCAAATAGAACTCTGTACTTTAATAAATAAAATTGATAAAATTCTAATTTTCTGTATTTATAGGTCCTGTAAGGGGAGTTGTGAACTCTTCCTAGAGGTCTTCGAGAGGCTGTGCAGAAAGGTCAGGGTGCGCTTCCTGAATTAGAAAGTCTTGTGGGCAGGAGATTTTAACATCAACTTGTCACCGACAGTGAGTAACAATAATGACAAAAATAAACTGTTGGATCTTATACACTCTTATAACTATGAACAGACCATATTTGACATTACAAGACCACCAAAGGACAAAAACAGTGAAAAGACATCTTGCATTGATCATTTTTTTCCAAACTTTGGTGATTATGAAAACAGTGTGGTCATCCAGACTGTTGTGAGTGATCATTATGCCCAATCAATAAGATTACTACTAGATAATTCTGAAATAAACAAAAATAAAGAAAAAATTAAAGCGGTTAGGGTTTTTTCTAGAAATAACACTGAAAGATTCTGTGAGGAAATACAGCGCTGCGACTGGGGTAGCATCTATCGGGAGCCAGATGTGGACAGGGCCTTTAATCGATTTGAACACATATTTCTACAGAAAGTAAATCTAATTTTTCCAGTAAAAAAAATGAAGCAAAGAAACAAACCAACACACAATTGGATCACAGCTGGTATAAAGATATCTAGTAAAAATAAAAGAAGACTATTTCAAAATGTTAGAATTGGGATAACAACTGTGGAGCACTACAAAAAATACTCAAATATACTCAAACAGGTAATAAAACAAGCAAAGAAGCTCAGCAACAAAAACTTTATACAAAATGCTGAAAACAAACAGCAGGCAACCTGGAGCTTAATTAAAAAAATAACTGCCACAAAAACAATAAAAAAAGACTCAATTCTAAACCACGTTGAATATGAAAATGAGACTGAGTTCCTGAATGATGTGAATAACTTTTTTGCAAACATATGCCCTGATGTGATGTCAGAGAGCAGTAGTAGCCAGGCTGATAAATCTGACACTGTGTGTAAAAAGAATCTTGAACTCCGACCTTTGACAGCTCTAGAAACCTTGAAAATCATAAAAGATCTAAAAAATAAAAAATCTACCGGATATGATGAGATCCCTGTTAGCATTATAAAAGCTTGCGCAAATTCACTTGCAGAGCCATTAACATACCTGATAAATCTATCGATGCAAAATGGCATCTTTCCTGCCAATCTTAAAATTGCACTGCTAAAACCAATCCACAAAAAGGGTACTCTAACTGATCTAAAAAACTACAGACCAATTTCCTTGTTATCCAACTTTAGTAAAATCTTTGAGAGATCAATTTATATAAGATTATTAAACTTTTTAGAAGAAAATGTCTTGTTGAGTGAAAAACAGAATGGTTTTCGAAGGAAAAGATCCACTATAAGAGCTATCTACACAGCACTAAATCGAATTTTGGAATCACGAAACAAGAACAATGTCACCATAGCCGTCTGTCTGGACCTCTCAAAGGCTTTCGACAGTGTAGACCACGGCCTGCTCTGTCGAAAGCTTGAGAGGATCGGAGTACGAGACACACTTCTGAGACTGTTCGAGTCATATTTAAATCATAGAAAACAGGGTGTCTTGGCAGAAAATAGCCTAGGGGAGGTAAAAAAATCGAACTTTGCCTACATAAAAAGGGGCGTACCCCAGGGCTCAATACTGGGCCCACTGCTTTACTTAATATATACAAATGATGTTGCAAATGTACTAGAAAATGTGGTGGTACTCTTTGCCGATGATACTTCTGTGCTCTGTTGTAACAAAACCAAAAACGAATGTGTCACAAATGTCCGGGAATCACTTGAAGGTATTCAGAATTGGTTTACAAACAACAATCTTCAACTTAATGTGGCAAAAACACAAATTATAAACTTCAATCTAAAACCTGAAGAAATAATGATTGACTACAATGACACTACAATTGCTACAAAGGGAAATGTTACCTTTCTTGGAGTGGTGCTGGATGAGAGGCTGGACTGGCGTGCACATATTGACCAGCTTGCAACAAGCATGAGTAAATACTGTTACGCCCTAAGGGTTCTTAGAGACTCAGCAGGCTGCTCGGCAGCGCTAACAGCTTGCCAAGCTTACATCCAATCAAGGGTGAGATATGGTGTCATTTTTTGGGGTAGTGTCTCGGAGTCGCAAAGAATTCTGAAGCTTCAGAAAAGGTGCTTAAGGACAATTTATCAAAGAAAAAGTACGGAAAGTTGTAAAAATCTTTTTATTGAGAGTAGTGTGCAAACAATTTTTAATATCTACATCTTAGAGTGCATAAAATTTGTTTCAGAAAACCCAGATATTTTTGACCAATTAAAAGCAGACCACCCCCATGATACTAGGTTTAAAGAAAACTTAAAAACAGAAACCGCTCAGTACTCATACATTGCAAAGAACGTTAAGCATAGCATTCTGAGGGTCTGGAATGCTATTCCCATTTCATTTCGATGGCAACCGCCACAGAATATCAAAAGAGAAATTAAAACATTCCTAAACTCAAAAGCTTACTACAGTCTGGATGAGTTTTTCACTGATCCACAAATTGACAACTTGGTAAAGTAAAGTTTCTTAATATCAAAACATACAAGCAATCATTACCAAACTAACACAGACAAATGGCATAGATGGGGACGCACACTTGGTCCTCTCTGTGCAGGCACTCGAGGGCTCAGGACAATTGAAAATTGCAAGAGCAATATTTGATTTATGTGTTCCTTATTGTATTATGTAAATTTTAAAGATTTTTGTGACTATTTATATTTTTATATTTTATATTTTGTGTTTGTATGTTTGAAATTATTATTGTTATATGTAGTAGTATATGTAATAATCTTATTTATTTATGACATGATCAACACCCTAGAGGTAAAAATGTAGAAAACTTGTGATACGCAGTATACTGTGAATTGTATTTGTCTTTTTTACATGATCGAATAAAGAATATATCTAATCTATCTATCTATCTATATGGAAAATGTTGGATATCGAGTTAATAGATAGAGATGAATTTAGAAGTCATTATACAGAAAACTCATTAGATACTTTGGAAGCGTTAAAATTGATGTAAAAAGATGCGAGGAGCTTAGAAAAGCCAACATAAAAAAATTTGTGGACAAATTAAGAGACCAACTCCAGACTATTTGGACAACAGGTCATTGCTCAGATGCGGACAAGAAGACTTTTAGGTATTTTTATGATGATTTTTATACAGAGGATTTGCTTGACCTGCATGAATTGGAAATTCAGAAATGGAAGAAATATTACGAAGATAACGGCAAACTTTTGGATATAATAAAGAAGCACCAGGAATTGTGTGTGGGATAAGGTGATACAATTGCCTATTTTGTTTGTGTGTGTGTTTTTTTTTTTCAAAAATATTTTTTTTTAGATGATACAATTTGAAGAAAATGCAACCGGAGTAAATAGATTTAAAAATAGAGGTGGTCAATTGCTGCAAGAAGAAAAAGAACGCAATAAACTCTCTAAAGTAATACCTCAACTGGAAGAACAAATGTTGAATCTGTCTGGAGCGTTTTTGGTTAAGAACGGTGTAGTTTTCAAGACTTTTGGTAGCACTGTCGAGGAATATATCCAAAATTTGCACGAGTCCCGTGAAAACGTACATAGATTCTATTTTGTAATAATATTTTCTAATCGATTTTTTTTAGGACCGTAAAACTAAGCTGAGCGCTCGGAAATTGCAACGTTGTGAAACAACTCTTCGCACTCCAGGTAAATCTTGTATGAGCCTATTTCCACCATCCACCAGTAAGTGTACTACAGTTAGTAGTTACCCCAAAAACGATTGCGTCCGCTTCCAAAAAGAAGATATTTGCCACGCCTACTACGGAGAATACTGCAAAGAGGCCTAAGGCAACACCTGCGACTGTTGGTTCGAAAACGAGTAAGTAGAATTGATTGTAGATGTTTCTGCATAGATAATATTTAAGTTGCTACAAGGGGATACAATATATGGCATGGGCCAGCATATTGTCTATAATACAGTTTTTCTTATAGAAATTTTTTCAGTCCATGAATTTGTTGGTTGAAATTTTTTTTTTGTAGTAGATTAATTTGCTTACAACTGAATAATTTGTTCCTTTTTATCATAGAAGGCACGCCAAGAGTGATTCCCAAAATCAAGGTTACACATCATACTATGTCACTGCCCAAACAGCGCAGGTCACGTTCATTCCAGGAAACGGAAACAGAAACGGAAACGGGCCCTCAGGCAAAGTAGGGGTGCTCAAAATGAAAATGTGGTTCCTGATCCAAATGAAACTAAGGATACAACATACCACGACTTTCAGGTGAGATTTTAGACTTTCCTGAAATAATTTCCGTACAAAATTTAATATTGAAAAAATCCATATTTTATACAGTGCTTTTTGGCTTATTTTCGTAATATAATAATGTGCAAAACAATCTACAGAATTTGATCGTGTCTATATTTTTCATTAGGTAGGTACCGATATTTCGTTTATCATATGTGCACTTATCCGAGTTCAAAAATAATACATTTTCGGCCTAAGAGTAGACAAATAGACTCACTATCCGAGCTGGGATCGTTACTTGAAAAAAGTTACGCGTTACTTTACAGTTACTTTCGAATAATGATAACTTTATTTTCGTTACTTATTGGCAAGTAACGCATTACTGTAACTTCTTTACTTTAGAAGTAGTTCGTTATTTGAAAGTTACCCGTTACCTGAACGCGTTAGTTTGTCCACAACGCGCTTGCGCGTCAAATAAGTGGGGTTATGTTGGCTGTTTGTTTTGCGGTCCAAAAAGCATAGCAAGTATTATAAAAAAGTTGTAATTAATACCTTTTCCAATTTAAAATGGCCCAAATGTCTTTTAAAAACGTTAAATTATCAGCAGCAGATGTGTCGGATGCAATTTTTCGTAATGATATTGTAGAGAAAAACAGCGTACCTATTGGAACTTAAAAGGAATTTACGTTAAAGACATGGCCAGGGAAAGCGGTAAAAAATTAATCCCTCGGAATATCCGAGTCTTCCAACTCTGCTGTCACTATTACACTTTCCAAAAACACAATATTTGTGTGCCCCGTCGCTTTTACTAATTAGGCCAGTGCAAATAATTTTGAATTTGCAAAAATTTTTATAAAGCTGCAACTATCAAAAATAGTTAGCGTTAGTACTCCTAGTAAACATTATACCAAAAGTCCCCATTCGTCCGGTTGTTGCGTCATTAGAAAAAACGGTGATATAGTATTTTTAATACCCATTTAGAATAACCCCATTCTTATTTATCAATCACGAATCAGATGAAACAAAAAATTACCAACAAAAACGAACGTCGATTTCTGATACGTCAATTTCATGTACACCTAAGAAATTCCTAACCTAATTTTATTTGTGCGTTCAAGATGCGACGTACGTTTTGTCACTAGAACGACTGGTACTTCTAAATAGGTATTAAAAATTCTATAGATCACTTTAGGTCCCTTTGATTTTCAATATGATTTTGATTATTACTGATAAACAAAGCAATTTCAAGATGGTTAGTGAGAAAAAAAATATGGATCCTTGAATATTTATCAAGGTATGATTTTTTTAATTTAATTTTTTTCTTTGTTGATTGTGCATCTTTGATAGGTATAGCGATATTAAGCTGATAAGAATAGATATTATTTATTGATCTGTGTCAAAGGTTGAGAAGCGAGAGGATATAAGGCATTAGTGACTAGTGATTTTTTACAATTATTATTATTTTGTTTACTTTAATAGATTTCTATTTTATGGCAAAATCAGCATACCACCTTGGTAAATATTTACAATATTTAATGTTTATGGAAAGGGTTTTTTGAGGTTTTTTACTGGTTTTATTGATTTTTTACTGGTTTTTTACTGACATTTCAAAAATTCCTACCTAATTTGTGATTAGTTTCCTTAATTAACTTAGTAGTTGTCTATTAATGACCTGACGGTGCAATCTTTGCATTGAAGTAAATGGTCAACATTTTGAACAATTATTGTAAACCATAATTAATCTGCTAAGTTTGTCGGTATCTTTTTAGGACACCCTGTATATTTTAATAATATATTGTTTATCAAAAAAATGAACTCATCCATATTTTTTTTTTCTTCATTATGTCCTAATAATTGCTCCAATGCAAATTTGAACATAGAAAAATTGTCCGTTTTTAGGGACCTAATAATGTGTTCCAGACCCGAAAAAACAATCCGCCATCTTGAATTTCGGCACTTATCAGTAAAAATCGTGAATAAGTCAAAAACGGTACATTCTATCGAAAAAACTCAAGAGAGGAAAATTGAATAGAATGAAAAAATGAATGTGGTATCAAGAAACTGAATGCGTACCATAACGTAGTAACAATTTAGAATTTTTTGAATTTTTGGAAAATTAGCAAAATCAAGGGAACCAGACCATAATGCGGTTAATGCGTTTTTTCAATCCCAATAAACAAATAAAATTACCTTCTAACATTAATTTAAATAAAAAAACACTTACCTATATATTACCTAATTTAATTCAACTACCCTCGTATGAACTAATAATGAGTAATCGCAGATTCAATACAATAATACTATTCAACATCATTATTACAGCGATTATACAACTCACTGTAGATTATTCCCATATGACACGAGAGGCTTAAGAACTGATAAGCCTTTTGGGATTATCGCGCTTGGTGGCAATATTGTTCATTTGCTATTAATAATAATGAAAATTAATAAAGTATGGGAGTTTAGTTCGTTGTATAACCTTCTGAATACCACTCGATGTTTCAGGATTACCTAATACTTTTACCTGACACTCAAGGCGTTACCAGCAACACCACTCCTCCTTCGTAGTCGTGGTGTTGCTGCGTAACGCGTTCCGTGACAGGTAAAAGTATTATTCGGTAATCCTGAAACCTCTTGTGGTATTACATTCGACTATTTCACTAGAGTGTATTACACCGGTTATACAACTCACTGTACCTACATTATTCCCATATGACACGAGAGGCTAAATAAGTGATAAGCCTTGTGGGATTATCGCGCTTGGTGGCATTTATGGCAAATTCTATTATAGACATTTTTTTAAATTTTAAAGTATTAAAATTTAGTTCGTTGTATAACCTTTTGAATACCACTCGATGTTTCAGGATTACCTAATACTTTTACCTGACACTCAAGGCGTTACCAGCAACACCACTCCTCCTTCGGAGTCGTGGTGCTGCGGCATAACGCGTTTCGTGACAGGTAAAAGTATTATCCGGTAATCCTGAAACCTCTTGTGGCATCACATTTGACAATAAATTCAGTATTCACCTGACAATATTGCTACCTGGACAATACCAACAACATGGTATTTCGGAGGTCAGAGACCATTTTTTGACATTGTCAAACTGATATTTTTAATTTGAAGTTCTTATTCATATTTTTGCATTCTATTTATTTTCAAAATTTTACGTGAAATAGTCATGACCAATACCACTCGAGAAAAAATTGTGTAGGCAAAATTGTTCCCAAGGTTTTATTCAAATTTGTTGCTTTTCTGCAATTTCGCTCGTGACATTTTTGTTAAATCACTCGCCTGACGGCTCGTGATTTTGTCAAAAATGTCAATGCCGACAAATTTTTTTCTCTTGTGATATTATAGGTATATAAAAAAAATTTGCCCTAACTTTTCCAGCGACAAAACTGAACCTAGCTTGACATGACCAGCAAAATTTGTCATTTACGTAGGTAGGAATCCATTAAATTGTCTTACCGAATTACACTCAAGCTTTTTTTTTGTCGAAAAGGAAACTTTACTTTATAATTCAAGTTTTGTTGTATTTAGGCAATTTAACTCAAATTGCCAGGCAACAAAATTCTCATTGAAATATTAAGTTTACTTTGACGCAAAAAGGCTCTAGTGTTATTAATTATAAGTGACAATTAACTTTCTAATACCAAATAACATCATGAGAGTGAACCAAGGCCTTTCTGTTACCATTCAACAGTGACTACAATCTAAAACTGGGATACGATTTATTCCATCTTATTCGAATTCCTCTTCATCTACGGAAATTTGTTTGTTATCACAAGAAATGCCAATTCAATTACCACATAGGATTGAACACGGAATATTCGACTTTATACATGTGCATAATTTGTTACATCCTGACTTGCAGTTGCAATATATCATATTCAGAACAAAATCAGGTGCCACTGCCTTTGACATAGTTTTTGGAACCAACATGTCTTTTTTTTTCATCCCAACCCCAATGTATTGTTTTTTTTTATTATTAAGCCAATATTGAATTTGTAAGTAAGTCCTATAGTAATGATTCTCATCAGCTCCGTCTGAAGTTGGAAGCAAAGTAGCTAACTCAAAATTCTTGCTAGGAACTTGACGAGATGTAAGGGTTTTGTATTTATAATATCTCAACTGATTTAAATCATCAATCATCAAACATTTTGTTTTGTTCTCCGATTTTCGCGCCTTAAATAATTAAATTATCAAAACCGAATAATTAACAGAATTGAAAATTCCTAAGTTGATAGATCGCTATGATACAAAATTACTTCTCATTGTATCTGATAGATTTTTTAATTCTCTTCAATTTTCATGTCCCCATTTTTTTCAAAAAAATGTACCGTTTTCGAGTTATTCGCGGTTTTTCCCAAACAGTGCTGAAATTCAAGATGGCGGACGACTTTTTTTGGTGACGCAACAGTCGGAGGCATGGGGACTTTTAGCATGTTAATAAGGGGTACTAGGGCTACTTATTTTTGATAGTCGCAGCTTTATAAAAAAAATTGCATTTTCAACATTGTGAATTTCATAATTGCACTGGCCTAAATTTTTAAATAGGTTTTTCCAATATTTTCCCATGCATAAACTTGTAACATGGACCGCAAAACAATAATCAGCTGATCGAAGAAATGACAGTGAAATTGTGCGATGTTGCCAGTTTGTACAAATTGAAGCGCGTTAAGTTTAAAAAACAAACTTTACAAAATGACCATCAATATATCTTTTCAATAAATAGCTTGAGTCTTTGACTGCATCAAATATAAGGTTAATTAATACTAAAGAATTTGAATCTCACTTCTAATGAAATCGAAATTATTCATGATTCTTTCCTGTATAGCGTGATAGAAACTGACACTTGGCAACAATGTTTTGCGCATGCGCAACAGAATTATTCTACTTTGAAAAGGTCTATTAAGGATGAAGCGACTAAATAGTGAACTTAGTTTAGGACAAACCTGCTTTTTGAAGCGTCCCAGTGCCCAGCGTCTGCAGTGTCTTTAGAGCAAAGGCGGCGCGTGCCACGCCCAAAAACGATTATTTTGAGCTTTCAAAACAAATTTTCTGTACTACCCACATTTGATTTACCTTTTCCTCAATTTTCAATTATTTATAAGGAAGATAAACAAATTGTTCATAGTAATTAGTAACGCGTTATTTTCATAGTAACGCGCTACTTTCATAGTACCTAACTCGTTACTTTAACAAAATAACGATCTGCAGTTACTTCAGGAAAGTAACGTCGTTACAGTTATTTATCAATAAATTTGAAAAGTAACTAAGTTACCAAGTAACGCGTTACTTTCAGTGACTCGTTGAAGTAAAGTAACTATTTTATGTCGTTACTCCCAGCTCTACTCACTATGCGATCTGTAAAAATATTGTGTTGGATCGGACGGTTCGACTATAGGTACTACCTTCAAGACGATATAGAGTCAACAGCACAAAAAAAACCTATTGACTTGACTGCCATATTCCTATGCTATTGGAAAAGATGAACACTTTAATTGGATGTACTAAATACTTCAATAAATAGTGATAAAAAATACTTTAATTTACAGAGAAACCCAATGGCGTACAGCTCTCTTTGCTCGCCTATTGAAGAGGGTCAGTACTATTTTTTTTATATTCATCAATATTGCTTTGTGTGAAATTTGTATGACTTTTGTAACAATTTTCTATGAACATTATTAACTATTTTTTGTCACACATAAAATCTAGATTTTGATGCATGTAAGAAAAAAGCTTGGGTCCATTTTGTTTACCAGAGTTTGCATGGTATTTCGCTTTTAAACTCTTTCGATAACAAAAAAAAAATTAAACTTTGTGTTTTTTTTTTAGAGCAACTTGTCAAATAAAGGACAATCTACGCGCAGCACCATCTTGCCAACTGAACCAACTCCATCAACTTCCTCAAAAGCTACTTAAAGAACACCTGAAAAAACTATACCACTTTCTAAACTCCAACCAGGACTCCAGCATCTGCAAAAACTCCTTCCTCTAGGACCCCTACTGGGACTAAAAATGAAACCAAGCTCGCTGTGTGCAAGAGTAGGTTACTGTTGTGATGATATTTATTTGTTTTGGAGCATTTGATGTTTTTTTTTATTTTTATGTACGACCTACACTGTAAGAGCTTATTACGTAACTCATTTTAGCCTGTTTGAGTTATGTAATAAGTTGCATTATCGTGCTTAGTGATGTAATGAGCTCATTACATCACTCAGTGATGTAATGAACTCTCATTACATAACTCAGTGATGTAATGAGAGCTCATTACGTTACTCATTTTTATTGAAAAACGGCACTTTTTAAAATTCATTTATCAAAAATTATAAATATAATCTTTTGTGAAAAATTAAAACCATTTCAAATACATAAAAAAAATCTGGGTCGTACATAAAATGTTGTATATCACACGTACGGTAACGCTCATTACACCACTCGTTACTGCAATGTAATGAAGCTCATACCGTACTAGTAATATAAATAACTATTACATGCATATAATCATTTCCAATTTGTAAGTTTTTTTTATTAAATTATTTTCATTTGGGAGTCTTTTTTGAGGTACATTTAGACCTGGAAAATGGTAAGTTTAGTTGAATTGGTGCAAAGTGGAGTATTTCCATGTTGAACAAAATGGCCTTGCCAATACAAATTTGATATACATTCCAAATACTTACTGATTTGCATTTTTTTTTTCTGTGCTCAGGCTGGGATTACCCAATCTTAACCATTCGTTATTCTCAGTGTTTTTGAATGAGGGTACTCATTCAAATCTTTAATAAGCAGATTTCAAATAAAACAGAAACCACAGAAATCATCTTTTTATAAAAATTGAGGCAGGATTCTGTAGCGGATAGAGATCCCTATCCCTTTGGCTATGGCACTTGCTGTTTTCTTCTCTCTTTCCGAAATCAATGGACAGGGGACGTCAATAGAGAATGCGAAAATATCTCTCTGGTAACCCTGGAGTTATTTCGAAATTTTATTCCAATTGGGGCAACCTTTTACCCTCTTCAAGAAGCTGCTACCAAATTTGATATATGCTGATACCTTTGGCCATTGTATGATGACTGGCCAATAACAAGAATGTGTTCCTGTTTATCAACAATCTCATTGTTGACGGTTTCCACAGAAGTACCTACATTCAAAGTTACAATAACTCCGAATAATTCTAGGAAAAATAGAAACGATTTTGCAAAATATGATGTTTTTTCACGATATCCAGATTTTATAGCGGCATTTTGTTCAACAAAAACATTGCACTAGGTAAAACTTGTTGGCAAAAGCTGGAAATGTTCATTGCCTCTTGTGTAAAATGTATTATATTATGTATAAAGACGTTTTTTAACACATAGTTTCTTATGGAAAAAAAACGAAATAATTTTTTTTTTTTTCGAAAACTGTTAAAGATAAACCTATTGAAATTTATATCATTGTAATCAGCAAAAGCAGAGCTTTTTAGAGAGCTATTAATATATAGGGTGTTCCATTGAAAAAAAATGGATTTTGGTCAATATCTTGAAATCGCGGCCCAATAGAAAAAAAAACTAAAAACGTCACTGAATTCTGCTTGAAAAAGTGTTTCTAGGAAGTTTTTACAGAAATCAGTTATTTTTATAAACGAAAAAGTTATGAAGATTTCACAGTATTGCTCAAAATCGAGAATCGCCCTCTAGCGGCTAAACCGTTGAAGATATCAAAATGCGGTTTGCACCAATCAAAATTTCAAGAAATTTGAGCCTCGGAGTGAAGACATTGACATTTCCTATTAAAACCATCCAAATTCAGACACCCTGTACATACTCCTAGTACATAGAGTAGATATTCACTCAATATTTTATTTTGCTTGCCACCGCTCTTCCACCTCTATATCCTATTCACAATCCGATGTCCACAGGTACCGGTAAATTTATCACCTTTCCCTATCAAATAGCATTGAAAGGTGATGAATTTTACCTGTACCTGTGGACAGCGGATTGTGAATAGATAATATTATATCCGCAGGACTGCGGGGAAATTTGTTCCACCGTTCACTTTGCTGAATAATTATCTTATCAGCCACTTCCGATACAACTTTAGACACCGAAGTTTGGTGAAAACATCCTCGCCTACTCCTGCCTGAAAGCCCAGGTCACCCACTTATCTTAAAAATATTTTAAATTTATCTTTGTTGCATAAAGCACCACCTCTTCTTTCTCCAGACTTTTCACCCAAAAATTGATTTGATAACCACTCCACAATTTCTTTACTAAACCGGTACAACGTTTTAAAGTCCCGATCACACGTATTTTTTCTAGCTTTGTAAATTTTTTCCGAACGCAGGTTAAGATTGAAGAACTCTGCCATAGCACTGCCTTCTACCGAGGGAAAATCGTTACTGAAATATCTTAAAGCAGAAAGTTGAGTCTACTGCATAGCAGACTCTAAAACTATGGAGTAGATTCTTCTGCCGAAGAGCACAAACAATTTTTTATTCATACCAAAAGTGAGAATCTACGCATACCAAATTATACATAGGAGTACCTACTCAAGCGAAATATCTGTTCGTAGTTTTTATTCATACCACGTGGAGTATTTACTCCAAAATTTGGAGTAGAAACTAAATGCTCATTTTTATTCGTACCTACCACCCAATGAGTTTTCTTTATTAGGGATAATGTTACAAATTTGTTAACATTGGAAAAGCCAAAAGTAAGTCCGAAATGAAAGCAAAATACCTAGTTTTCGGGCTTTTACCACTTGCTTTTGGTAAATCCTAGATTTAGCGCGCTTATCCTAGGTTTTAACCGAATTTCGGGCATTTACAGTAACATATATATTGGAGGAAAATTCTGCAAATTTGGTTCTAAGTCCTCTAACATTCTGATAATACACTAATATCTTTTTCTGTATGGTAACCTGCTGCTTTGAGGAAAATTTTGGTGATTTCTCGAATAGTTTTGTCCTTGTCTGCTCACTTTGCTTAGAAAAGCTGTCCTCTAGGGCGTTGATTTCAGTAATTAGTTTTTGAATTGTCTTATTTTGCGCCTCAGATTCCCTCACCAAGCTCTTACTATCCATATGGCGACATGTTCTATTTTTGGCCTCATTTGCTTGTGCCATACACGCCGGGTGAAAAAATCCTCCACATTTTAGGCACTACGTGCTGTGTGTAACATTCTTTTTACAATGTAGGCATTTATTTTTCTCCGTCAAATTTCCGTAGTTGTTTCAGATGAATTAGGCATTTTGAATTTGTTAATTCTTAATAGCCCGGACTATACAGGGTGTCCCACGGTGGATGGCGTATTAGACGTTTATGGAGAACTGAAAAGCGGATCATTTTGAAAATTTGGCAACCGGGATAAACGACCATAATCTACACTTTAAAAATATTTTTGTTTATGCGGTGTTGCCGCTTTTACTCTAAACTAGTGGCACCTTCGCTATTTTAAATAGAACACCCTGTATTTGATTGCATATTTGGATTCTACGTATAATTCTGAGCAGATTTCGTGTGATATACTCTATACCTAAGTTCAACTGTTTTGGAAATATTGACAGTTGAAAAATTGACTTTTTGCAACTTTGACAGGCTGTAAAAACCTAAACGGTTAATTTTAGAGGAAAACCGATTTTACATTCCTATCTTAGATTTTCATAAACTATCATTTGACACCAACTTTGGACTTAACCGGAGATTAAATTTAATTGGAATTTTCAATCATGGATTAAATTCACAGTTGGTGCCAAATGATAGTTTATAAAAATCTAAGATAGGAATGTAAAATCGGTTTTCCCCTAAAATTAACCGTTCAGGCTTCACAGCCTGTCAAATTTGCGAAAAATCAATTTTCAACTGTTAATATTTCCAAAACAGATGAACTTAGGTATAAGGTATATTACATGAAATCTGCTCAGAATTTTAAGTAGAATCTAAATATGCAATCACATACAGGGTGTTCTATTTAAAATAGCGACGTTGCCACTGGTTTAGAGTAGAAGCGGCAACACCGCATAAACGAAAATATTTTTAAAGTGCAAGTTATGGTTGTTGATCCCGGTTGCCAAATTTTCAAAATTATCTGTTTTTTAGTTCTCCATAAACGTCTAATACGCCATCCACTGTGGGACACCCTGTATAAAATATTCAAATAAGGAAGCCCAAGGTTCTTATCGGCAATATAAACAGATGAATACCAATACCGATTGTAAAAAAGAAATTCCGGCACTATTGATGCTGTTATTGTTCACACATAAAAGCCGTAAAAATAATGTTTGGAGAAAATTATTTCTAACCGACGCGACGCGGCAACAGTGTAGGTGCGATTCAGTAGATGTAGCCTTGAAATTATAAATATTTTTAGGTTTTTAATTGTTTTTAGTTGGTTTACCACAATTAATCTGTATTATGTTAACATACGATATTTGAGAGAATAGTTAAATTATAGCACTTTTCCGACTTTTAAATATATCAAATTCTGGCTTTTTTGGCACGACCACATTCAACGATGTTTACAATCTTTATATCAATTATGTCTGTATCAAATTCACTTCAAATATTAGTTTTTAAGGTTTAAAGTCAACCCCCATTTTCTGAACCTTGTGTTCAAAAATTCCAAAAAAAATATATGTGTTATGGTTATTGATATACCTACTTTAATCCATAATTTTTTCAAGCAAATTTGACTCGCCATTTTTGAGATTATACCTATCGCAAAAACTGAAAAAAAAGTGGTTTTTCACCATTTATTTCAAAACGAATAGATGAAGTTTCCCGTTATTTTTATTACGAACTACTATTGCGATTTTACGCGACATATATTTTTTTCAAATTTTTTGAACTTGTAGTTTTCACGCTACTGCAAGAATAGTTGGAAATACGCCTGTAGCTACACTGTTCAAAAAAAAAATCCGACGGATGATCGTTCAAAATTATTTGTGTTGGTCCAAACTACAACCCTGTTTATGTAAAACAGAATAATACTTCGAATTTCCGCAAAAAAAAGAGAAAACTTTCCATCACACAAGTTAGGGCACACTATAGGGGCGACAGTACTGACATCTCGCGTTGCTGTAATAAACTATAGGCCTGACTTTAAACCTTAATAAAAGGCGTGCACCCCACTTTGCTCAACGCAATTTCATTTCTGAAACTAGGTCCAAATGAGCAGACATTCCATCTACAGTGTCCGCGGAAAAGTCTGCACCATATGGGAAATTTTTTTATGCTCATCCTTACTTCAAATCGGTTTTTGGCATTAGGTTCTGCAAAAATTTTTGACTCGAGACTTGCCCACACTTGTCATTTGAAAATTTCAAACAAGGAAAAGTGGCATTTTTATAAAAAATATGAAAAAATTTTATAAGAAAATATTGTTCCAAATGATATTTAGAGTCTAATTTGATATTTTTGCTTTGAAAAAAATATATTTCAAAGTATGCAATTTTTAAAATAGTCCAGAGGCGTATCAAGATTTTAATAGAAATATTTCTTTTTGATGTTTAAACTCTTAATTAGATTATTAGGATTTGAAAAACCATTAGTCAGATACAAACTAATTATTTTAGAGGAATGTCATTTGGAACAATATTTTCTTATAAAATTTTTTCATATTTTTCATAAAAATGCCACTTTTCCTTGTTTGAAATTTTCAAATGGCATTTGACAGATGTGAGGTAAGTAATGCCAAAAACCGATTTGAAGTAAGGATGAGCATAAAAAAATTTCCCATATGGTGCAGACTTTTCCGCGGGCACTGTATAATAGAAAAAAAGTTAAAAGTTTGCAAAAATCCATGCCAGATAGTGTAATCACCTGTCAAAAGATAAATGTGGAACCGAGGGTATAACCGACCATCAGTGAAGTTAGATGTTTGGAAACATCCCAGTAGGTGGCTTTTTCTGAGCATATTGACAATCAAAAATGTGATTTTTGCAATGCACCTCTCCTCACATTTATTCTACCTCATATTCACAAATCACATAAACACGCATAATCCATGAGTGAAAGGTTGGAGCAAAAAATTCCGAGGTTGGTATTTTAGATACATCAGAAATTGGCATTAGAAAGTTTTAATTAGGTTTTTATTCTTTGTTGTTAAATGTGAAACAAGCAAATTACCAGATTTGATCACCAACACCTTACAATTCAACAATACCTACTATTATATTGAAAAAGTAGCCCATGATTCAAAGTGGAATTGAAATTTAATTTCTTCCACAAGTATATCTTTATTGGAATCAAAAAGCCCTACCAGTTTCGAAACTAGAAAGTTTCATTTTCAGGTGCAAAAAAATACTTAATTTAAATCAGCTCAGATAGTCAAAAAAAGGTGCATAGTCAAATAAACCGCCAGAGTTAGCATTGACAAGTAATTAAAAGTAATTTTTCTACTATAGCTGAAACCAATAGTTATTGGTACAAAATATCTTGGTATAAAATATAGATAGAAATCTGCAATGCAATTTGATAAGATTTCGTAGGTATGTACAAAGTTTATGAACTAGAAAATATTGCATATTATTAGTATCACATTTTAATCCCTTAGTTGAATGAGTTATCTTCAGTTCTGGTTCTGGTAGTCTGACTTTATAATTAATATCTACCTATTAAAAATTCTTAAAGTTTTTTAAAATCCTCTATACAATCTCTTTGTTCTAGGATAGCATTGAGGATATGCCATGGACGCAGAACTTATGGGAGAAAGTTGAGCAGCATAGCAAAAAAGGCTTTCTGAACTGGTGTAAAATTGTAGCCGGTAACAAAGGCGAAGATGTCGTTATGTGGAATAACGATGAGTATCTCAGGTCGGTCGATGAGTTTTTTTGCGATATGGTGGCCGAAATGTCGCAAACTCATTCGCGTCAACCATCAACAAAATGCAAGAGTTTTTTCACTCGACTAGAAAGGGCGTGCATCGAACTCCACCAACCATTGCCTGAAATTAAGGAAGAAGGTTTAAGCCTTTACGAAGCCCAGCAAGAATTATTGAAATACGTGAATAAGTGAGTTGTTAAAAAAATTAATTTACTTATTATATTTTTTTTATTAAATTAATTTAGATATGAAGCTGTCGTTAATGCTAAGAAACTAGCTCTGGAAAATCTTAACAAAAAACAAATACAATTATGCAAAGAGTTAGACCGGAAAATACAAATTGATTTGAAGTACCCCCCATTGCCTACCCAAGCACAGTTTGATAAATTGGAAGCAGAAAAGTTTGAACGCGAGGAAAAATTCGTAAATTTGAAACACGAAATCACAGAAATCGTTGATGAAATCAAATACAAACCCAATAGCGACTTTGAAAGAGAGGTTTGATTTTTGTAAATTTTTTTTTTTTTAATAAACTTTGATAAATATTTTTTCAATAGGTATTGTCTTCAGATGATATGATGTTGAGTAACCAGAATCTAAAAATGCTGGAGTTTTTCGCCAAGTGTATGAAAGAGCTCAAACTATCCACCGAAGAAGAAGTGTCCCATTTAAGAACAAGAATTGAAGATCTATGGAAAATGTTGGATATCGAGTTAATAGATAGAGATGAATTTAGAAGTCATTATTGTACTAGTAGATATATTATAGGTAGGAAAAGGTAACTAGCGACAGATGTCGAAACTTGACAGAAAGTAATAAAGTGAGCTTCAAATATAGAGTATCTTCTATTCGTCGGTAAATATGCAGTATAGCCCGGTCACCTAAAATGGTATTTTTTTGAATAAGAATCGTTTGTTTAACGTTCAAATAGTGCATTTTGAAGAAAATTTTCCAGCGGAAATCTTTAATTTAAAAATTACAAATTAAAATTATATTGAAAATACTCAAAAAAATAGGTATTTTAGATGACCGGGCTATATTGCACTTTATCCCCTAAATAAATATGCAGTATAGCCCGGTCACCTAAAATAGTATTTTTTTGAATAAGAATCGTTTGTTTAACGTTGAAATAAAGCATTTTGAAGTGAATGTTTCAGCGGAAATCTTCAATTGAAAAGTTAAAAATTAAAATTGTACTGAAAATACTTTTTATTTGCAACCAAGCTATAATGCACTTTTTCCCCTAAATAAAAATGCAGTATAGCCGGTCACCTAAAGAGTTTTTTATTTAATTAAGAAAATGCAGATTAACCCAAACTAACCCGTCCGTATAGTGCTAGTAGTCTGCATAAGTGAAATACTGTTTATTTTTAACCAACCTATACTACTGCTCTTTACCCCCTAAATAAATATGCAGTAGGTATAGCCCGGTCACCGAAAATATTTTTTTTAAATTCAAAATCGTTTGTTTAACATCCAAATAGTGAATTTTAAATAAAATTTTCTAAAGGAAATTTTTAATTGAAAAATTACACTGACAATAAATTCTTAGAATTTATACGATATTGGTTTAAAATGCCTACCTACTAAAGATATGTTATCACTATGTTTAAATAAAGTTCTGTTTATTTCTGTAAATACAATTTTTTTTTAAAATCTTGCAAACCTTAACATGTCGAAGTTGTCCCACTCTCCCCTACTGCATATTTATTTAGGGCCGAAAGTGCAGTATAGGTCAGTTACAAATAAACAGTATTTTACTTCTGCGGACTAGCTAGCACTATATGGACGGGTTAGTAAGAGTTAGTTTGATTTAATCTGCATTTTCTTAATTAAATAAAAAACTCTTTAGGTTTCCGGGCTATACTGCATATTTATTTAGGGAAAAAGTGCATTATAGCTCGGTTACAAATAAATAGTATTTTCAGTACAATTTTAATTTGTAATTTTTCAATTAAAGATTTTCAGATTTCCGGTGAAAAATTTTCTTTGAAATGCACTATTTGGATGTTTAACAAACAAATTTTAATGGAAAAAAAAACATTCTAGGTGACCGGGCTATACTGCACTTTTACCTATTCGTCTTCTTACAATTATACACGGAAAGAAATTTTGGATACTATTAATCCAGTAGGGTAGTATTACAATCAAATTTTTGATCAATATAGCGTCAATCTAAATTTAGATTAATATCGATAAATGATTGGATTGATTTACTTGTTAAGCTAAAATCTGCTAAAATATATCAAACCATGATAAGTAGCAGCTAATGAGTTCTAATAAATAACAACCAAAATTTGCTTATTATTAGCAAAAATAAAATTAAATTTGTCTAGGATATTCCTGAATATAATTTATATATTCTTAAATTTAGCTAAGCGTTGAATAGTATCAAGCAATTTTTGGATCAGTTCAAGTTGATTGTAGATAATATTTGCTAAATATATGATTGATTTTAGAAAAAGATATGACGAAAGATAGCAAATTGACAAATAATTAGGATAAAATTTATCAAATAATTTGATTACTTCTTGCAATATTTTGATGTTATATATCTAATAATTGAGTGCAACTTATCAAATCTTTTGATTATGTGCATTCAATATTTGATTGCTGGCCAATTGATTTTCGTAATTAGCGGTGGTGGTGGGAAAATAGTAACAATAAAATGAGATTTCGGTTTAATTATTATTTATTCTGCATTCGTTTACAATGTTGAATACTAAATTATTATTATCTCCTATTAACTTAACCTAAATAACCTTCTCAAAAGGAATACAATTTATACCTTATAGTTTATAGATAATAAGAAAATAATAACGGCCGTATGCAACATCCTCTTTCAACTTTAAAAGCGACTTTGAAAGTCAATTGCTTAAGAATAATTTTTTTTTTAAAAGTGACAAAATAGGCTAAAAGTGCTTTTAAAATTAAAAGATGATGTTGCATACGGCTATAAGTCTTTAGTGTAAAAGCAAATTAATCAGCTTACAGGAACCAAATTAAAAATATAAATTTCCTTGTATATAAATAAAAAACACAATTCCAAAACTCCGTAACACCCTATGTTATTAGTAGGTTTTTTTTACAAAGATACAGATGAAATGTTCATTTCTACTGGAAATTTCAATTTCTCTCCCATAAAGAAACAAATATCACAAATATCACTCACAAAACTCAATAATTTATTATTGCCAGTTAGCACTGCGTGGCACTACGAGTACGGGTGCGAGAGTACGAAAAAATACACAAAGACAACTTAGACAAGTTTTTTCTGTGGACCGAGTTCGGCTTGCACTCCACATAAACAGGAGGGACGTTCTTCCTCCAACAAAACACCACACACTAAAATATTTTCAAATGAAAAATAACTCAAGTAGCCAAAACCGTTAGAAAAACTTATAGGTATTTGCTTATGATTTACTCCTTATATTATAGATTAAGCCAAATAATGGCTCGATTCTAGAAGAGTTTTATTAATTTGGTCAAATATTTGATAATCGTAGCAAAAATTGGATAGAAATAGTTATATATTTGATTGTTTTCAGTTCACTGTTTTTTCTGTTTTCTAAATTTCAGTAAATTCTATGAATAACTTAATCCAGACAGGAATACATTAATTTAAAATATCATAGATATTAAGCATTTATTTTATTGATCCCGTCAAAACCATATAGATCAAAAGTAAATTAATGCCCATATTATTCTGTGTTGTAACCTAAAATATTTTAAATCAATGTACCTAGTAATTCATTCCTAATTGATTTGATTTGGAAATGTATAGATCTGTGAAATATGTAAAAAATTTGACTATGATGCTTGTTGAGATAACTTTGATAGAACTTATTTTACCAGACACTAGGAATCTCAATTTCTCAAATTGATCTTGTTGATAAATCAGATATTATCCTTTAGTTAAACTATTATCAAATACAGCTAAAATAATATAATCTAAGAGTTAATTTGAGCAAATTTCTTGCAAAAATTAATCATGGGAGGTACATCAATTCGATTTTTAATGTTTGATTGATTTAAGAAAAGCGTTTTCTGTAATCAATCTAAATTTTGATGTCCCAAGAAAAAAATTGATGAGATTTAGCAGTTTAAGCATAAAAACAAGAAAATTGTATCTATTGATATTAATTTCAATTTGATGTTATTAATCGTAAGCGAAATTAGCAGATTAATCTTAAAACGCTAATATCTGTCAGTTTTTTTCTTGTTTTATTCCATTTTAGATTAAATTAATTTATTTGGCATAGATTATGGTATTTCTTATTTCAATAAGTCGATTTGATTCATTTTATCAAAGCATTTCTTTCCGTGTACAGGCAACTCATTGGATACTTTGGAAGCGTTAAAAATTGAAGTAAAAAGATGCGAGGAATTTAGAAAAGCCAAGATAAAAAATTTTGTGGACAAATTGAGAGACCAACTCCAGACTATTTGGACAACATCTCAGAGTTTCAGGTATCTTTATAATGATTTTTATACAGAGGATTTGCTTGACCTGCATGAATTGGAAATTCAGAAATGGAAGAAATATTACGAAGATAACGGCAAACTTTTGGATATAATAAAGAAGCACCAGGAATTGTGGGATAAGGTGATACAATTGCCTATTTTGTTTGTGTGTGTTTTTTTTTTTCAAAAATATTTTTTTTTAGATGATACAATTTGAAGAAAATGCAACCGGAGTAAATAGATTTAAAAATAGAGGTGGTCAATTGCTGCAAGAAGAAAAAGAACGCAATAAACTCTCTAAAGTAATACCTCAACTGGAAGAACAAATGTTGAATCTGTCTGGTGCGTTTTTGGTTAAGAACGGTGTAGTTTTCAAGACTTTTGGTAGCACTGTCGAGGAATATATCCAAAATTTGCACGAGTCCCGTGAAAACGTACATAGATTCTATTTTGTAATAATATTTTCTAATCGATTTTTTTTAGGACCGTAAAACTAAGCTGAGCGCTCGGAAATTGCAACGTTGTGAAACAACTCTTCGCACTCCAGGTAAATCTTGTATGAGCCTATTTCCACCATCCACCAGTAAGTGTACTACAGTTACCCCAAAAACGATTGCGTCCGCTTCCAAAAAGAAGATATTTGCCACGCCTACTACGGAGAATACTGCAAAGAGGCCTAAGGCAACACCTGCGACTGTTGGTTCGAAAACGAGTAAGTAGAATTGATTGTAGATGTTTCTGCATAGATAATATTTAAGTTGCTACAAGGGGATACAATATATGGCATGGGCCAGCATATTGTCTATAATACTGTAGCAAATCGCCCCAAGTACTCTATGTAAATTAGTTAGATGGTATATTGATGGTGTTTATATACTTGGAGCTTGCTATCTAAAATCTGTGGAAGAGGGTCTATTTGCAAGAGAGAGAAACAAACTAAGGAGGTGTACTAAATTATATTTTATTTCACATAAAACTCAAAAATCAATTAGCCAAATATCTCCCAATACTTTACATCCTTCTTTAATTCTGTAAAATTAATACTTCACATCCGTTCTATATTGTTATTATACGGACCACTGAAATATGCCTACTTAATAAGAAACGCCCTATTCATACTATTTCTCAAAATAATATTTCTATTTATTTTACTACATCCGAATCATTCCTAATAACTACCCTTTACCAGGGCCGTGCATAGGGGGGTGCGGCCGGTACAAATTACCAGGGCCCGGGTTCCGTAGGGGCCCGGCCCGATATCTCGAAAGAAAAGTTTTATAGTTGATTTTTTTTCAACTCACTTTCGCATATACCCACAGTGTTTCAGAAAAGTTGGTCATGGTCCAACTCCCTTTATTCGAATGGAATACCCTATATATTATTGGATATTCGGATTCTATGTAAAATTCTGTGCAGATTTCATGTGATATACCCTATCATCTGTTTTGAGTGTTTTGGAAATATTGACATCAGTTGAAAATTAACTTTTTTCTATGAGTATTGAATAATATGCCTAATATACATCCATTTTCTATTGATCAATGTGAATGATTAAATCGCATAACTCGTGCCTATTTTCTATTATTCATGGAAAAAGTATAGTATTCTACTCGTAGGTAATAACTATTACTCACTCGGATAATTACACTACTCGCCTGCGGCTCGTAGTGCAAACTTCATCCTTCGTGAGTAATAGCCATCATTACCCGCTCGTTGAATAATATACTATTTTTACAACTTTGACAGGCTGTAAAACCTAGACATTTAATTTAAGAGCAAAACCGTAAACCGTTACATTCATAAATCATCATTTAACACCAACTTTAAATTTAACCGGAGCCGGAGATTAAATTTAATTAGAATTTTGAATCATGTAGGGCCGATACTTTTGATCTTGATAACGAATTTGACACGTCATTGAATTTAACAAGGTTTTGCATGGGACAAGGTCTGTAATCTGTATGATGTGGTAAGAGCACATTCAAACCCCTGATTATTTTTAACGTCTGTCAAATTCGAAAACTGAGAACAAAAATACCGGCACGTATAATGTGTATCTCTCTCAATCAAGCGACAAGCGTACTCCGGTCGCTGCTGATGCGCGGTTCATACTCCCCTTACGGCCCTCACGCGATCGGAATTTTTGTGAAGCAAAGAGGTTTCACTTTAAAAATACCTAAAAAAATTATACCCTTGGCATCTTTTTTTAAATCTTACAATAACTTCTACTTGTAAAATAAACTCCCTAATTCAAAATTCATTTCATGGACAATAAATTCTTTTAACGGCTTTCCCATATTCTAAGACAATTCTATTTCATGAACAAGTTTAATTTACGAAACATCCTATTTCCTTTTAATTAGTTTATTTAATCAGACAAATTCTAATATAAGTTTCCTTTTAACTAGTTTCCAATATTTTAAGAAAACAATTCTATTATGTCATCAAATTTCTTTTTAAAATTTCCTATTGCAGTTAATAGTTTCTTAGAACAAATTCTATTTTCGGATTCCTATGCCTAGCTAATAAATCCAACTGTTTAATTCATAATTTCCAACTCAAAATTGAATATTGTTAAATGCATTGTAAGTACTCTTCATATTTTTGTTGCACATTTAAATGTCATTATATCTGAAGGTAATTAAAGTTATGCGATAATGTTTCCTTCATAAAACACTCAAGTTATTAATTTCGTTGTAATAAAGTTCCACCGTTAAATTAAAAATCAAAAGTTTTCTAGTAAAATTTCACACAAAGTCATGTTCATCAAAATAAATCTTGTCACTATAAAGTACTTACATTTTGTCCATAAAACACACGTAAAATTATTTAATTAACTACTCAAAATATTTAGCTTCACGCACATAATTGATTGAACGAAATTTCAACTGTTATTACTTTCTCGATTTTCCGTAAATTTTCTAAGTTAAAACATACCCGAGGCCATAAGCCATAAAAAGTAACTTTTCGCGAAACTGGGCAGACTTTACTTCAACTGGACTAGGCTGTTCAACTGTTTTCAGGCAACTATCTTCAGATCACCGGGAGCTCTCTTCTGCAAGTTTTTTATATCAATTCGCTCTCCCCGAAAAATTATTAGTAAATTTCCCCAAAATCGTCAATATAGGCGGTCGTTAACTTTGGACTTCAAATTTCATTGGACGCCCTCATTGTTATTAAAAGAATGATGCAATTTCCTTGAATATTTTATCATTTTTCTAGCCCAAAAATCGACTAATTATGTCGTAATATACTGATTTATCGAGGTCAAAACGTTTTGGGTTCAAAAAATGCCATAATTCATTCGATTTAATTAGTTACACATGGCCTTCGCTAACGAAAAAGTTCATTGATCGGTTATTAATGATGTCATACTGTCCTCGTTTTTATCTGTTTTAAGAATTTAATTTAGATGACACTTCCGGGTGTCGTAATACGATTGCTTAGTTGGTTTTTATTTTTAATTTATCGATACAGATTTCAAAATACCGGAATTAAGTTTTTGATTGTTTGATTATTTATTTAATTTTTACAGTAAAGACTTTGTAATTATAGGGTCAAATTTCTGGATCATCACAATATCATTAGAAAGAGCAATAAATTCTCTAGAAATCCGTGCAAAATTGAGTTCAATAGCTCAAACAGTTTTTGAGCAATTGAGCCTCAAAGTTAACTTTTAGTCCGAATTTTGTCGAAAACTTCAAACTCAATTTGCTCAAAAACTCTAAACCTGGGAATATTGTAGATTATAGGACTTTTAGAGCTTGCTAAGAGCTACAAATGCTGAAAATTTCAATGCAATTTGCTCAACGGTTAATGAGCAATTGAACTTTGAATATTTTAAAATCAGAATTCAAAGAGGGTAGGTAGGTAGATATAGGTACCCTTATGAAAAACTCGATTTTTCTATTTTTCAGTTTTGCTCAATTTTGACTTTACCAATCGATAGAGAGGGTAAAAATTAGTGGGAAACGACCCCGACATCAATTCCAAATGGCCATTTTAAGCTGAAAAAAAAATTAAAAAGGAGATCCTATTTTTCAAAATCTTGACATGGTGATAAACAATTACCCATATGTTTGTTAAATTTTGAGCAAATTAGAATAAATTATATATCATTAGAAAGAGCAATAAATTCTCTATAAATCCGTGAAATATTGAGTTTAATAGCTTTCTTATTCTTGTTCAGCATTTTGCCCCATAGGACATGATGTCCACCTTATGATGAAATTGGTTTGAAATTAATAATAAAGTTTATGAGGTAAAATGTAGGACTATGTCGATCATTTTGAGGAAACGAATTAAGTGAGCCCTATTGGTGGTCGTTTTATTTATTTTTTTGGGCAAAATGCCAAAATGTTGGAGGGATTTGATGGAAATTATGCAAAAAATGGATAAAGAAAAGCTTCATATTCAGGAAAAAAACATAGGTAGGTAGGTAGGTAACTTTGCAGCTTATTGGCAGCTACAAAACTAGGTATCGAATTAAGCTGCATCAAAATTATTAATAAGGTATTTGTAGAGAATTTAATAGGCTTCAATTTAAGCCTAATTATGTTGAAATCGGATCGAAATTAACAAAGTTATGATGCAAATTGACAACATGGGTACCTACTACTATAGAGAAAAAATCAACAAACCTATTTTATCTCATAACTTTGTTAATTTCAATCCGATCTTAACGTAATTAGGATCAAATTGAAGCCAACTGAATTCTCTACAAATACCTTATGATAATTTCGATGCAGCCTCAAAAGTTTCGCGGCTGCTAAGCTCCAAGTTCTATTGACTGATTTTTATCAAGGCAAGGTAGGTATAAGCATGCACAGATAAGAACGTCAGATAAGAAAGCTTGGTACCTACGTGAATAAATTATGGAAATAACGAAATTAGAATATTTTTATCTATTATCCATGGTTTTTTTGTTTGAAATAAAGTTTTAAACGCTGAAAACAACATTTTTTCTTTTCATAGGAAAGGATTGATTGAATTTTCAAATTTATTGGATTTCATTGGATGTAACTACTTAAATTTAAACTAAATATTAATGTAATAATTAAATGTATTGAAAATATAGAATATACTGCATAAAAATCAATCAAATCGCAAGAAAAAAGCAAAATTTAAGCAAACCAGTTAGGAAGAAAATGGCGGAAAAAATCGCTCCTGATGTGGCCCCACCTATCGATTACAACCGAAAGTTACCAGAAAATACCGTGGCGACATCTAGCAAACAAAAGCTAAAGCTGTTGTTTTTACAGAAATCTGTAAAAACAACAGCTTTAGCTGATAACTTTTGATTGTAATAGATAGATGGCGCCACAAAAGTTGCGATTTTTTCCGCCATTTTGGTCCTAAATAAATTGCTTAAATTTTGCTTTTTTCTTGCAATTGTATTGATTTTTGTGCAGTATATTTTATGTTTTCAATATATTAAATTATTACATAAATATTTAGTTTGAATTTAAGCAGTTCCGTCCATTGAATTCAGAGAAATTTGAAAATTGAATCAATTGTTCCTTATTTCCTATGAAAAGAAAAAAAACGTTTTTTTCAGCGCTTAAAACTTTATTTAGATGATTATTTCAAACAAAAAAGCCATTTTCATAATTTATTCACGTACCCGTACCAACCTTTCTGACGTTCTCCTGTGCGTGCTTATTGCGAACCTATTGAAGCTGTATCGAAATTATCATAAGCTTTTTGTAGAGAATTCAATTAGATTTAATTTAAGCCTAATTACGTTAAGATCGCATTGAAATTAACAAAGTTATGAGGCAAAATCATAGTTTAGACTGTGAATAAGCTTTGCAGCTGCAAAACTATTGAAGCTACATTGAAGTCATTTTCCTATAATTCACTTTCAAAATTCTTTATTTTCAATGCAATTAGGCTCATTAAAATCCTCTATCGAATGGAACATGATTCGTACTCAAATCGATCAAAGCATTCCAGAGTAATGGCCGATTAATTTTCCGATTTGAATATGAAAAATTAAGGAATTTTTTTGAAATTTGGAGGCCTGAAATATGACTATTTTGTAGCAAATTTAATCCTCTATCCAATGAAACATGATTCATTAAAATCGGTCCAGGCGTTCCAGAGTTATGGCCGATTTAATGGGATCATGTCAGGCGCGCTACTGGAAAAGCCCCCTCTATAGATTTTCTTTTTTATTTTTCTTCCAAGCTTAGAAGACGTCCTACGGGAAAATGCCAAATAGCTTTTCTGCTTGTTTTCACCTCCTCTATACACTGGAATTTTTTTTTCTTCCAAAATTCGGAAAATTTCGATTTTCCATTTTTTTCATAAGGAACCTATAAAAGAGCGAAGCAAAAACTCCAGGAAAAACTGAGAATTGAGGGGGGAAAAGTGGGTTCCGCCATTTGTCTGAACGTCCTCTATGACGTCGTGAAAAAAAATCCCGGAAATTTTGACTTTGATTTTTTCGCTGAAAAAAAATCCTATCGATTTTAAAATTTCCAAGTGGAATATCTTGGAAATGGTGAGTCGTAGAAGAACAACTTACTGAGCTTTTTTTGTAGATCTCGACGAGCTCTATAATGTAGCCATGAACGGTTTTCCTCTACGACTTACGGTTACCGATCTATGGCTGGTTGAAGTTTCAATTTTTGTAATTTTCAGAGTTTTCTGTACTGTAGGTATAGGACCAAAAATCAAAGTCATAATTTCGAAATTTCAAGATAGCCATTTTGTAGAGGGGATCCCAAAAAGTCCCGAAACCAACTTTTTTTTCCCTTAATTTTCCGATTTTCCATGTTTTTCCAGGCTTTTCAATGGAAAAATCAAACTTGAAAATTTGCAAAATTGAGTTCAATAGCTCAAACAGTTTTTGAGCAATTGAGCCTCAAAGTTAACTTTTAGTCCGAATTTTGTCGAAAACTTCAAACTCAATTTGCTCAAAAACTCTAAACCTGGGAATATTGTAGATTATAGGACTTTTAGAGCTTGCTAAGAGCTACAAATGCTGAAAATTTCAATGCAATTTGCTCAACCGTTAATGAGCAATTGAACTTTGAATATTTTAAAATCAGAATTCAAAGAGGGTAGGTAGGTAGATATAGGTACCCTTATGAAAAACTCGATTTTTCTATTTTTCAGTTTTGCTCAATTTTGACTTTACCAATCGATAGAGAGGGTAAAAATTAGTGGGAAACGACCCCGACATCAATTCCAAATGGCCGTTTTAAGCTGAAAAAAAAATTAAAAAGGAGATCCTATTTTTCAAAATCTTGACATGGTGATGAACAATTACCCATATTTTTGTTAAATTTTGAGCAAATTAGAATAAATTATATATCATTAGAAAGAGCAATAAATTCTCTATAAATCCGTGAAATATTGAGTTTAATAGCTTTCTTATTCTTGTTCAGCATTTTGCCCCATAGGACATGTCCACCTTATGATGAAATTGGTTTGAAATTAATAATAAAGTTTATGAAGTAAAATGTAGGACTATGTCGATCATTTTGAGGAAACGAATTAAGTGAGCCCTATTGGTGGTCGTTTTATTTATTTTTTTGGGCAAAATGCCAAAATGTTGGAGGGATTTGATGGAAATTATGCAAAAAATGGATAAAGAAAAGCTTCATATTCAGGAAAAAAACATAGGTAGGTAGGTAGGTAACTTTGCAGCTTATTGGCAGCTACAAAACTAGGTATCGAATTAAGCTGCATCAAAATTATTAATAAGGTATTTGTAGAGAATTTAATAGGCTTCAATTTAAGCCTAATTATGTTGAAATCGGATCGAAATTAACAAAGTTATAATGCAAATTGGCAACATGGGTACCTACTACTATAGAGAAAAAATCAACAAACCTATTTTATCTCATAACTTTGTTAATTTCAATCCGATCTTAACGTAATTAGGATCAAATTGAAGCCAACTGAATTCTCTACAAATACCTTATGATAATTTCGATGCAGCCTCAAAAGTTTCGCGGCTGCTAAGCTCCAAGTTCTATTGACTGATTTTTATCAAGGCAAGGTAGGTATAAGCTAGCATGCACAGATAAGAACGTCAGATAAGAAAGCTTGGTACCTACGTGAATAAATTATGGAAATAACGAAATTAGAATATTTTTATCTATTATCCATGGTTTTTTTGTTTGAAATAAAGTTTTAAACGCTGAAAACAACATTTTTTCTTTTCATAGGAAAGGATTGATTGAATTTTCAAATTTATTGGATTTCATTGGATGTAACTACTTAAATTTAAACTAAATATTAATGTAATAATTAAATGTATTGAAAATATAGAATATACTGCATAAAAATCAATCAAATCGCAAGAAAAAAGCAAAATTTAAGCAAACCAGTTAGGAAGAAAATGGCGGAAAAAATCGCTCCCGATGTGGCCCCACCTATCGATTACAACCGAAAGTTACCAGAAAATACCGTGGCGACATCTAGCAAACAAAAGCTAAAGCGGTTGTTTTTACAGAAATCTGTAAAAACAACAGCTTTAGCTGATAACTTTTGATTGTAATAGATAGATGGCGCCACAAAAGTTGCGATTTTTTCCGCCATTTTGGTCCTAAATAAATTGCTTAAATTTTGCTTTTTTCTTGCAATTGTATTGATTTTTGTGCAGTATATTTTATGTTTTCAATATATTAAATGATTACATAAATATTTAGTTTGAATTTAAGCAGTTCCGTCCATTGAATTCAGAGAAATTTGAAAATTGAATCAATTGTTCCTTATTTCCTATGAAAAGAAAAAAAACGTTTTTTTCAGCGCTTAAAACTTTATTTAGATGATTATTTCAAACAAAAAAGCCATTTTCATAATTTATTCACGTACCCGTACCAACCTTTCTGACGTTCTCCTGTGCGTGCTTATTACCTTGATAAAAATTAGTCAATAGACTTTGGTGCTTGGCAGCTGCGAACCTATTGAAGCTGTATCGAAATTATCATAAGCTTTTTGTAGAGAATTCAATTAGATTTAATTTAAGCCTAATTACGTTAAGATCGCATTGAAATTAACAAAGTTATGAGGCAAAATCATAGTTTAGACTGTGAATAAGCTTTGCAGCTGCAAAACTATTGAAGCTACATTGAAGTCATTTTCCTATAATTCACTTTCAAAATTGTTTATTTTCAATGCAATTAGGCTCATTAAAATCCTCTATCGAATGGAACATGATTCGTACTCAAATCGATCAAAGCATTCCAGAGTAATGGCCGATTAATTTTCCGATTTGAATATGAAAAATTAAGGAATTTTTTTGAAATTTGGAGGCCCGAAATATGACTATTTTGTAGCAAATTTAATCCTCTATCCAATTAAACATGATTCATTAAAATCGGTCCAGGCGTTCCAGAGTTATGGCCGATTTAATGGGATCATGTCAGGCGCGCTACTGGAAAAGCCCCCTCTATAGATTTTCTTTTTTATTTTTCTTCCAAGCTTAGAAGACGTCCTACGGGAAAATGCCAAATAGCTTTTCTGCTTGTTTTCACCTCCTCTATACACTGGAATTTTTTTTTTCTCCAAAATTCGGAAAATTTCGATTTTCCATTTTTTTCATAAGGAACCTATAAAAGAGCGAAGCAAAAACTCCAGGAAAAACTGAGAATTGAGGGGGGAAAAGTGGGTTCCGACATTTGTCTGAACGTCCTCTATGACGTCGTGAAAAAAAATCCCGGAAATTTTGACTTTGATTTTTTCGCTGAAAAAAAATCCTATCGATTTTAAAATTTCCAAGTGGAATATCTTGGAAATGGTGAGTCGTAGAAGAACAACTTACTGAGCTTTTTTTGTAGATCTCGACGAGCTCTATAGTGTAGCCATGAACGGTTTTCCTCTACAACTTACGGTTACCGATCTATGGCTGGTTGAAGTTTCAATTTTTGTAATGTTCAGAGTTTTCTGTACTGTAGGTATAGGACCAAAAATCAAAGTCAGAATTTCGAAATTTCAAGATAGCCATTTTGTAGAGGGGATCCCAAAAAGTCCCGAAACCAACTTTTTTTTCCCTTAATTTTCCGATTTTCCATGTTTTTCCAGGCTTTTCAATGGAAAAATCAAACTTGAAAATTTTGGAAAAATTATTTTTTTTTGGCTAAAGGGGGCCAAAATAAGGCGAAAATGCCTCTTGACGTTTTTTGATTTAGGGCTTTCTAAGCCCGGAAAAAATTCCAAAAGAAAATTTCCAGCTTGACGCATAGCCCCATTAAATCGAAATCGGCCATAACTCTAGAACGCCTGGACCGATTTCAATGAATCTTGTTTTATTCGATAGAGGATTAAATTTGCTACAAAAACCTTTTTTTGTAGACTGGTGCAGTACTGCCTTCGTCAGCATCTGGCTACTCAATGGCTTCAGCATCAGTACCGCAATCCGACAGTTTGTATAGCGTAAGCAGCGGAGGCTCTTCCATTTTATCTTCAACTTCTGGCTCTTCCACTCACGCTTGTTGCTCTGGTCATTGCATTGAAGGCGCCTATCCAAGACAACCCAGAACTGGTGCAATAAAAAGGTACAGTAATAATTAGATGATTCTGTTTTTGAATTTTTCAATTGCAGATCTCAAAAGCAAGACATGAAAATGACTCTTAAAGACTACTGCAGCAAGAACCGTTTGTCTCCGATTCGAGAGGCGAGTCCTTTGCACAATGTGCAGCCTCCTGCCTCTACGAGAATCAGATGCGCTCAGAAGATTCTGACGCAACTGGAAATGCCGCTGCTTGTCCGCAAAACTTACAAATATGAAAAATTAGCCCAAGAGGACGACAACTTGCACAAAAAGGAGAAAATCGACAACAAAAAGAACGAAATAACTGAAAAGAATATGATGGTGAAGAAGAATAAATTTTGAACAAACCTCATATTAAATAATCAAAACAAGTTTATTAGGTCAATTTTCTATAATACTTAGTACATATCTTTATATAAAAAGGAGTTTTAAATTCATATAAAAGTGATGGCAATAATTATAGAGGTCTAGAGGCCTCAAATTTTAGCTCTAAAGTACTTCAAAATGTTCAATTGCATAATATAATAATAGATAGTTAATTAACATTGTTTTAATCTAAAATACATAAGACTTTTCTAAAATACATTGAAATTATCGATAATACAATTCAGGTACTGCTAAAATAGGTACTTTTGAATGTTTCTCAAATAGGTACATTTGAAAAATTTAAAATACATAAGGATTTTTGGGAAATATGAATACTTATTTCAAAATAGAAATTCTTAAATACTGTTGTTATAAAAAGTGTAAATGGATGGGTAGGGAACACAAATATTTCGCAGGAAATAAAAAATGTAGTCAATACACAAGGAAAATAATCCCAACGCGACAACAACGCACCTAAGCCTGCCCCCTCTTGCTGAAAGAAATTACTATTTCTTGTAAATTCCATTTATTCACAGTAGGTAGGGGAAACTGTTGGACAATTCAGTGGGACAATTCAAATTGTCCGCCACCGGTATCGCTTAAAATTCCGAAAAAAATTGTGTCAACTGCTTCATATATGAGCATTAGATATAACCTTGGCATTGGCCCTTAGAGTCTTCAATATGGCGGGATTTTCGTTAGTGTAACCATAAAAGTGACAAAGTTTTTTTTTACGACCACGTGTTGGGCATAGTTTATGCCAGTAATATCCAATAGTTTGTCCTGAATTTGAGGATAATTATGCCCGAAGGTGTCTTGAAGGTGAATTAAGGTTATTTTTTTCTAGTATTTGTTCATATTTTCTCAAATTCAGAAAATTTCAAAAAGCGTATAAGGTTGTATTGTGGGACAGTGTATACTGGGACAGAATTTCTGGGTTGCATATTGGGACAAACATTTTATCTGCTCTATAATAGAACACTTTCGTATTTCACCTAGTTTCAATATCCTCTTTCTTCCAGAAATTGATAAAAATAGGGGCCGCAAAAACAAGAAATCGTTTTTTGAGAGTCGGAAAATTCACTTTGAGAATGCTGGGGAAGGCGGTAGACTCGGCGGTAGATGGTGTTCTTAAAAATGAAACCAATATTAAGACTGCTGCAGTTCAATTTGGAGTTAGCAAATCAGCGATGCATAGAAAGAAGCACAAAATAAAGAGCCAATGCTTAGCAAATATTCAGTTACTTCTTCACGAAGGTGCTACGGTTTAACTAGCAGAAAACCTAGAAAGTTGGCTTATAGATTTGCCATCGCAAATTAAAATAAATCCAAAAACATGGACGGAGAATGAAATCGCCGGAGAAGAATGGTTCAAACTTTTTCGAATTCGAAATAAGTTTGGCTACCTACTTAATTTATGTCGAAGTTCTATCATTTTGTGAATAAGCGACGGAATTTTTTTTTATATTTACTTATTTTGGATCAAAAAACATTGTCCCACTATACCCATGCATCATTCCCAGTATGCAACATGGGATGGCTGTATAGTAGGAAAGTGGTGTACAGTGGGACATTCAATTTTTTCTATGTTAAAGTGTAAAAGTTGTTGAAATTTTTATAATTGTTAATAAACAAACTACTTTTAAATATATTAGAATGTTCACAATAGTTAAAAATTATTCAACAATTTTTTTATTTCAATTAGAAAAATATTGTCCCAGTATACAACAGTCTCCCCTACTCTAACGTGGCGTGTGACGTTGTGACGTGATAGTGGTACTGATTTCGCGATGGAGGAATTTAAAATAAAAAAAGTAAGTGTTCTACTCATTAAATATAGCATAATAGTAATTTTCCTAATCAGTGCGCAAAGTTGTTTTCCCGCACGCGGATAAACTTTAAGTGCGGGAAAACTACTTCGCGCACGTGTAAGGAACAATATTTTTTCTACGAGTGAAAATGACTTTACTTTAAATTTTCAGTTTTTATAGGCATCAAAAACAACAACTTGTTATAATTAACTAGGTTTATCTAAATCGGCCGCAAAATTTGATGTAGCATCACATATTTTTCAATTAATTGCAACTTAAAAAAAAATATATACCCCTGAAAACTAAAATTTCCCCGAGGGAAGTGTCCCCCCGCTGAATGGGGGTGAGTTACAAAAAAAGTTGATCAGGAAAAATTGTAGGAAATGTCATGTTATTTTTTTGTAAAAAAATAAAAAAACTTAAAACTACCCCTATTGAAAAACGGCAGGGGGTGAGTAAAAACTTCATAAAGCAAAAATGTTGTATGAGTTGTAGAAAATTTTTTCACGTTGGTTTAAATTTTTCATTTTCATTATAAAATTTCAAACGGCCCTTAATCAAAAAAGTCTTTAGATAAACATTGTAGATCACATAATGTTGCACATCTTTTATTTGAAACATTTTTTTGTAAAATCAATAGGTACCCAGTAATCGCCAATGACGCACTTTCAACCTCTATAGCGCAAAACGCCAGAGAGGTGAATGTTTGATATTTTCGGTTTTATAATCACCCGCCCATCCCCTATCCTATCATCCCTGAAAAGTTCTTTTGGGTAGGATTTTTTTTTGAAAATAGACTGATAAAAGTTGTAAATTTAACCTCAAGAGCAAAGGAAAAAAACTTGTTTATTTGAACATGCACATTCCAAGCTTGAAATTCTTTCTTTTTTTTTCCCAAATGCAAATTCAGAAAAAGTACGGATTTTGCTCGATAGTAGGTATATTTCCTTTTCGCAGGGTTGCCAGATGGTTATAACTAATTTCCCCCAAAGGATTTCAAAAATACCCCAAAAATCACTGTTTGTCAACTAAAATCCCCCAAATAAATGCAGATTTATTCTCGACTCCTACTTGCAAAAAAAAAAAAGACAAATTCGTTGAATATTTCAAAATAAAACTCATTAATCCCAAAAATAAAATGACAATTATTATTGACAAATGACAAATGAAATAAAATGTTGTGACTGGCGACAGAAGAGATAAGTACAGGGTGCTGTAATTTGGAGTGTTTTAACAGGAAAAACACACTTCCAGACCAGATAGACGAAAATTGACTTAGATGTCATGGGATTGATTTTCGAGAAATGTCGAATGTCAAAAACCGCATCGCAATATCTTCAATGGTACCATTAATACAGGGCGATTTTCGATTTTCCCCTATTATGAAAAATGGCTATAAGTTTTTTATTTATCAATTTTTTTTAATTCTGTAAAAACATTATAGAGACACTTTTTTGAGCACAATCCAGTAGCGGACTCAGTTTTTTTTCTATATCGCTCCGATTTCGAGATATCGACCAAATTCCGATATTTTCAAATGAAGCACCCTATACCACTAGTGGTATCACTTAAAATATACACCCGTTATAGGGTGCTTCATTTGAAAATATCGGAATTTGGTCGGTATCTCGAAATCGGAACGATATAGAAAAAAACTGAGTCCGCCACTGGATTGTGCTCGAAAAAGTGTCTCCATAATGATTTTACAGGAATAAAAAAACTGGATAAATAAAATAAAAAACTTATAGCCAGTTTTCATAATAAGGAAAAATCGAAAATCGCCCTGTATCAATGGTACCATTGAAGATATCGTGATACGGTTTTTGACAATTGACGTTTCACAAAAATCGATCCCATGACGTCTAGGTCAATTTTCCTCTATCTGGTCTGAAAGTATATTTTTCCTGTTAAAACACTCCAAATTGCAGCACCCTGTACAGTTGTGTTGTACCAAGAAGTTTGGATAGTTTAAAAAATAATCTCAATTTATGAAAATAGTAGTACTTAGGTACTTAATAACATAAAATAAGAAATAAGACATAACTTAAAATTTAGCGTTTTAATAGATACCTACATTTTTTACTTTATTTTTATTCATTGAAATATACCCGATTTCCCCCAATAGCGAAAATTCTCACAATTTTTACCCCAAAAAATCCCCCAGAAAAAACTATCCCCCATCTACTTGAAAATCCCCCAAATTTGGGGGAAAATCCCCCAATCTGGTAACACTGCCTTTTCGTGGTCCCATTCAATTTAATTTAATTTTAATTTGATTTCAACCCTGTGAGGCATTTTCTCTTTATTATCAAGACTTCGAAAAAATTCACATGACAATAGTTTTTCATAAGGATATAGGCCAGGAAAGAGAGGTTGAACCTCACAAACTGGACACAACTTCTGTTCTGGGCTTCTTATCATGGGTCTAACTTTTTCCAACAAAATTCCTCCCTGGAACATCCCCTTTCATCCCCAGCCAATTTGACGGAAACGCCCGAACGACCAGTGGCGTAGCATTGTTTTTTAATTCAACATAAATTCAATAAACCATACTTAGACATCGAGTCTAGCTATGAAATTGATAGGGTACTATTTCAATATGATCTCCAATCCCCATGCGAAATCCCAATAACTCAAACCCCGTCGAAATATGAAAAACTACCCTTAACAAGTGAAAATGCATAAATATTAAGATTTTCGTATTTTTTCCCAACTCCGGACTTCGAGTCTTGCCATGAAATTAATAGGGTACTATTTCAGCACCATCACCAACCCCCATGCGAAATCCCATCAACTCAAACCCCGTCAAAATATGAAAAACTACCCTTAATACTACGAGAGCCCGTGACACAAAAGCCTCAGTCATTTGTTAGAAGGCCGTTTTTCAGTGGTCCAATATGCCAAGTCCAAATTGTTTCCTGATTTCTAATTAAAATAATAATTAACAAATTATACTTTCTAATTTTCAATATTTCAATGTAATTTAGAAAAATCTGACATTATTTCAATCAATTTCACGCTTCCACGACAAATATCTGTGAATCTGGCATACTCAGTAATACCGGCCCAAAGGGCCGGAGTTATATGCGAGCCCGAAGGGCTAGAGTTATTTTAATCACGGGACTCAGTCTATAATTCTATTGGTCAGCGAATAATTTGGAGCCAATCAAAAACCGAGAATATTTAAAATGCGATTTTTAGCGTCCGATCAAAGAGTCGGAAATATTCAAAAACTTTAGTTTTATCAAATTGGCTTTGGAATGTTGGTTTTCTTAAGATTTTTACTTATTTCAGAAAACGGTGGTTTTTGCAAACTTATACTATTTTATCATTGTCTTTGTCTTACTCACTATAATCAATAAGGAAACCTTGTAATGTCATTTTCATTGAAATTAAACAAAAAACAAGTTTCCTATGATTTATTTCGAGTATTTTAATTATTATAATCATTATTAATT